GGGAGTGGGGATGTGCAGGGTGGGGGTGGGGATTGTGTACCAATGAAGGAGTTTTGCTTTTGCTTTTCAAGGAGAGGAGTGAACTGGGGGTGGGGGTGGGGGTGAGTAGATGGGGAGAAAAGTACAACAATGAATGAATGGAATTCCAAAATCTCTGTAGATGTTAATTGATAGTAATAATAATAATAATAAATAATACCCCATATGGAACTTTTACCAAAACAGACACCTTCTGGGGCCTTAAAACAAGACTTTTAAAAGCATTAAAATAATATATATGTTCTGATTATAATGTAATAAAATTTGAAATCAGTAATACAAGGAACTCTGGGCAGTTATCAAACAGAAAGTAAATATACTTCTAAATCAGCCATGAGTTAAGAGGAAATCAAAAGAGAATTAAAAATGCTGAACTAAATGAAAACATAGCATATAAAAATTTGTACATCACAAAGGATGCATACAAATTTATTGTACTAAATGTTTCTACTGAGATAAAGATATTAAATGAATTATTTTGGCTTCCATGTTAAAAAAACCCAACAAGACTAGAAAAGAAAGAGCAAATTAAACCTTAGGTTAAAAGGGTTACTTATATATATTTGTTGTTGTTGTTGACTGCTGTAGAGTCGAGCATGACTCACAGGGACCCTAGGAGCAAAAGACCTGAAACATTTGTAAAACTATCATTGTTTCTCAAAGTTCATTGAGTTTCCAGAGGCATGTTGTTTAGGAAGTGGATGCCACTCCTGATTCTAAACATGTCTTAATTTGGGAGCTCCACCAAACACTGTTCACCATGGGTAACCATTATGGCATTTGGCACCACAATGGCACAGTGTTCAGCATCAAAGCCACTCCCTCAATACAGCAAATTGAGAGACCAGTGCTGCATCACTGATTATTATATATAATATATACAATATAACATATACAAGTAGAAAAAATAAATATAAAAAGGAAAAGCAGTGAAAAATTATGAAGCTTTTGGATAAAGGTTAGTAATCTATATTTTACTAACGACGGAAAGGCATTTGACAGAGCAAGGAAACGATGTATGGTTCAAAATCAGGAAAGTTACACAACAGAGATGCATGCTATCTCTGTAGCTTTTCAATCTATATGCAGAACAGATCATTCAGAAAGCTGGGCTCTATGAGGAGGAATGTGGCAACGGGATTGGAGGAAGACTCATCAAAAACCTGCACTATACAGATGACACAATCTTGCTTGCTGAAACCAAGGAGGACCTGAGGCATTTGTCACAGAAGATCGAGGACTGCAACCTTCCATGTATATTGAAGCTCAACATCAAGAAAACAAAAATTCTCACCACTGTGCCTATTGGCAACATCATAATAGATGGAGAATAGATTGGGATTATTAACAGCTTCGACTTGCTTGGCTCCACAATCAACACTTTTAGTACCAGGAGCCAGAAAAAATCTGGTGTCAGGGACTTCTCCAGAATACTGAAGAGCAGTGATATCAGTCCAGAGACTAAGACTAGGGACTAGAGATTAAACTAAGAGCAATGATGTCAGTCTATGTGCATCTGCTCCAAGCCATGGTCTTTGCAATACTTACTTTGTATCAGAGAGCTGGGAAATGACTAAGCATCATAGAAGAATCATCAATGCCTTTCAGCACTGAATATACCACAGACTACTAAGAGAACAATCAGATCATTCCTGAAGAGGGTGAAACCAGACTGCTTCTTGGAGGCAAGGATTTTGAAGCTCTGTCTCACATAATTTGGGCATGCTGTCAGGAGGGACCAGTCCTTGGGAAGAGACATCATTCTTGGAAGGGCTGAAGGATAGTGCGAGAGATGGACTGACTCAGTGATTAGGGTAATGTGGGTAGGTGTGTTGGGACAATAAAATTGGCTCATGATGGAGAGCTGTTGTATATGGTGTCATTAAAAGTCTCAAGTGAGTTGTCAACACATAACATCAGCAAACATTGAGAATTCCAGAACACTTAATTGTACTCATGAAATCTATAGCTAGACCAAGAAGCTCTTACCTGAAGAGGGAACATGGAATGGTTTAAAATTTTAAAAATGTTGTTCAGGAAAAGTGGAGTATTATTTCTGCATACTATTCAATATGTTTGCTATGCAAATAACTTGTGAACCTGGGCTCTTTGAAGAGGAATGCAGCATCAGGATCAGAGGAAGACTTATTAACAACCTGTTATACAGATGACACAACCTTGCTTGCTAAAAATGAGGAAGATCTGGAACACTTGAGGCACTGAAGATCAAGGACTACACAGCCTTCAATATAGATTACATCTCAACTTCAGGAAAACAAAGGTCCTTACCAACTAACCAATAGGTAACACCATGATGGATGTGAATGGACTGAAATTGTCAATGATTTCATTTTATTTGGATCCACAATGAACACGTAGGAATCAGCAGTCAGGAGATATATTGCTTTGGACAAGGTGATTGCCCAGGAACTCTTAAAAATACTCAAGAATAATGTCAGTTTGAAGACTAAGTTGTATATAGTGCAGACCATAGTCTTATCAGTCACTTGCTATGCATCTGAGAGTTACACAGTGAACAAGGATGAAAGAAGAAATGTTTTAGAGTTGTGGTGTTAAAGAAGAGTACTGAATATGTCATGGTTTTCCAAAAGAATAAATAGGTAAGTGTTGGAGAAAGTGCAGCCAGAGTGTTCCTTAGAAGCAAGAATGGTGAAACTTTGTCTCCAATACTATGGATATGTAGTTAGGAGAGGCTATTCCTTGGAAAGGGATATCATGCCCAGAAAGGTGAAGGGTTGATGAAGGAGAGGAAGACCCCCCAAAGAAGAGAGATTGACATAGTGACTACAGCAATGAGCTCAATTGTATCAGAGATGATGAGGATAGGACAGGTGGTTTGTTGTTCCTAGTGGCATTATGAGTCATACTCGACTTGACAGCACCTAACAACAAGAAACCACTCAGCTTGACAGCAAAAAAAGA